AGTTGTATAAAAAATAATATTAAAAATTATTCTTTAATTATTTTTTTTATTTTTAATTTTTAGATAGATAAATTTAGGCTCACTTTATAAGTAAGCAAGAGGTTTTTTGCCCTTATTGTTAATGTTTATGTTGACAATCTATGGTGGCGATTCATGATGGCAATAAATTGCCACATTGATGCTGACATGGTAATGAATAACAGCATATTAATGAGGATGGGAGTTTGTTGTCCATTTTAGGTATTTTCATTTGGATAAAAAAGATGAGGATTAAATTTTTATATTATTAGTTAAGAGGTTAACAGTTTCATAGTAAGGTAGAGGGCTGACCATGCATTTTCGCCTTTGATTGAATGTACAGGTGATTTCAATTGAGCAAAAATTGAAGAAATGTTGGCCTGACATGCTTCACGACGATGATCATATCTTTTGGAGCCACGAATGGAAGAGTCACGGAAGATGCTTCCCGAATGTATTTCGTGGCCAATCTCAATATTTCAATAAAGCGGTTGGACTCTGCTACGGGTACAACACATGGATTAAAAGCACTCTCGCGGATTATGGAATCTATCCTAGCAATAGCCGGCCGGTGAGCCGTGACCGTATTGCCGCCAGCATCCACGGGGCAATTGGAAAACGTCCGGTATTACGTTGTGCAGGTCCATATTTTCCAGATTTTAAATCTGATCCAGGTCTTGGATATCCTCCATCTCCATCTTCTGGTTATCAAACATATGTTTCACGTAAGAGTCATCAAAAACGAAAACTAGAGGTAACTTTCGAAAACAGAATACTACTAGAAGTAATTTTGTGCTTCGATGTAAAAGGGGGAGATCTCATAGACTGTCCGCGGCAGACTAATTGTCGTAGTGAAATTTACTTTTTAGCGTAAATTTAATTTTAGTGAAGGTTAAATGTTAATATTGATCCTTCAACTTGCTGAGTTTGCACAATTTTAGTTCTTCAATTATTTTTTTTATTTTTTTGGTCCCACAACCATCAAAACTGCATAATTTTAGTATTTTCGTTAATTAAGTGATACGCAGCAGTTATAATATTTCAATGGCATTTTTTGATTGATGGCATGTAATTACATATTATATCATAAAATAAAAAAAGTTGTCAACTCAGATATCCACGAATATCTTCATTGAGCAAACTTATTATAATTATATTTATTATTTTTATAATATTACATAAATACCCCTCTTACCCATTTTATTCCTGATTGGCAATCCCATTTCTCCCCTTGTTTATCTTCATCAACTCTGGCAACTTCTCCTTCTCCTGCATTTTTCTAGCAACCCTTCCTTTTTCTTTTTTTTTGTTTTGGTGTCTACTTCTCTTCCTCTCCCCTTCCATCTTTTTTCTAAATTTTTTGGGGTTCATGTTCGTGAACCCAATCTGGGTTCATGTTCATGAGCCTTCCCTTCTCCTCTTCCTCAAACCAACCCCTTTTCTTCATCTTCTCGAGTTTTTTCATTTTTTTTGTGTTAAATTTGGGTTTGCAAAACCCAGATCTATGGGTTCATAAAAATAAAATCAGTTGGTATAATCACAAAGTCGTCACCAGTATGAGCAGGATCCAAGTTCTTGGTGTTGAGTTTTTGTGTTGGTTCCTAGACCTATAATTGCATCGCGTTGGTTTCCTTGTGCACCATTTCTGCCTTGCACTCTTACATGTTGTTCTATAAGGCTCGAAGGCGTGGCTGAGAAGTAGCTGATGGTGGTTTGGCAAAATGTGAAGAACTGTAGCAGTTTTAGATTTATAATTGTGTTCTTTAGAATTTGAAATGAAAAGGAAATGAAAATTGAGTTGGAAATATGGATTCATAGGAAGCTAGATCTATGTTCAAATAATTTAGATTTCAAGAATTGTGAATTTTCATTTCAACATTTTTTTATGGGTAAACTTTACTTCAACTCTTGTTTGATATGAAATGGAGTAAGAAAAATTTGTTTTAATTTGTCTTTGGATGCTAAGAAAATTTTTGTATTTGGCTGTTGAGAAAATTTGTTTAGGAAATTTTGGTTGGTTTAATTGTAAGACTATTTTTGATTAATCAAATTTATATAATAAGTAATTGTAAATAATTAAAATTAAATTGAAATTAATGGTAAGTTAATTTATGAATTAAAAGGTATTAAATGTAATTATAGTAGGTGGATCCACCGGAGATATTAGTGGATGCCTAACTTGGCAATTTTTTATTTTATTTTATGGTATGATGTGTAATTACATGTCACTAATTAATTTTAAAAAAATGCCATTTAGAATATTTTAACTGTTACATGTTATTTAACTGATGAAATGATTAAAATTGTGCAATTTTGGTAGTTAAGGGACCAAAAAAGTGCAAAAATAATTAAAGGATGAAAATTATGCAAACTCATCAAGTTGAGGGACCAAAATCAGCATTTAACCTTTAGTGAATGAATTCATTGTCAGTGAATGGTAAATTGAATTGGTATGATAACAAAAATGCATTTTTGACTCTTTTAACCCTTTGAATATGAAAATAAGTACAAGTGTGCACTGGCCCAAAACTTGGTGAGAAGAGAAAAATGGAAAATTATGTTGGCTTGCACATGCAGGGAGTACTTGCCAGTTGCCACATAAATGAATATATATATTTTAAGTGATGGTTATATATTAATTTTGGTCCCTTAATTTTATAGTGTTGCATAATTTTAGTCTATTAATTATTTTTTACATTTTTTTTTATCTCTCAACTCTAAGAACTACGCAATTTTTGCCCTTTTGTTAGTTTGGACCATTTTCATGTGACTTTTTTTATATTTTTTCTAATGACATAGACAATACAACTTAAAAAGGATGTTGAGATGGACAAAACTTTATGTCATGTCATATTTTGGCAAATCAAATGTGTCAAAAAACCCTTAAATGAGTCCCACATTGCCTGCAAAGATTAAATAAAAAAATATAGAAATTTGGAGATGTCTTTTGGATTGCACTTTTAGGAGTAAAAAATCCAAAAACTTCTACAGAACAAAACATTGCACTTTCTTTGAAGCTAAACCCTATACTCTTTGGGATTGCAGAGATTTTTTGAATGGGAATGTTTTTGTTAGTTTCAATTGAAAGGAACATTTCTCATTACTAATAAGTAGTAGATTTAGACCATTCAACATACATCAAAATAAAAAGAATTGAAATCCCACCAAAAGGTTTCCCAACTGAAAGAAGCCTCCAACTTTAATGGGGGAATAAAAAACCAATAATAGCAAAAGAACAAATACATCAATGTTATGTGATGACTCCTCCATTATTTAGATATGGGAGAACGCTTGTTTTGAGCATGAAAATATACATTAATCAATTGTGTGTTAAATAGCTAAATTTGTAGGAAAATAGAAAGAAATCATCTTCCCTCTGCCCTCGAAAGACCTAAAAGAATTAAAAATGAAAAGGGTATTTATTAATTATTACTACTATTTTGAAAAATTGCAAATAGTTAGATGCTCTTTTTTTTAAAAAAAAAAAAACAAACAAACTAGTGGAAATTCTTACGAAGAAAAAGATAAAGAGGAAAACAAAAAATTCAAATCTTGACTATATTGATGAGAAAATATATTTCTACTAATAATTTAATCAATTACCCTACAAACCTTCTCAAATACACCTAGATATTAATCAAGGAGTAGCTATAAATGGCAAATGAATTAATGTGTAGAACATAGGATAGGAGAATTTCTTACTTTAGTTTAGTAGCCTAAACGTACCCTCCACTAAAAGGGTAGGCAGCACTTGGTTTATTTTAATGGGTCACTAGGTTTTGTGCAGTATTATTCAAAGAAAAACCCTATTGTAGAGGAACAAGAAAATCAATGGCCAAATTGTGGTGGGGTCCTTTTGCCTTTAATTCAAATGAGGGATATAGATAACTATTTAATGATCTTTGGAAAATGTCAAATGTATCCAAAGTAGACTTTTGAGTTTTGAGCACGCAGAGGGGGGGTGACCGCTGGCTCTGGCCCAAAGGAGTCCTTTTCCATTTTATCAAAGCCAAAGGTGACCCTTGCCTTTGCCATTGCCAAGAGAGTGTCAACCATGACATAGATGGAAAATTGGAGTTGTCTTTCCTTTTTTCTCCTCCTTTCAAGTTTGATAGAAATGGATACAACCGTTTTGACTAGAATTTCCCTTCAACTTTCCTTTTCATTTGCATCTATTCTTCCATTAGCATAGTACAAAAACATTACATGGGGTTATCAAAAGTATTATAGTAAATTATCATATTCAAACAATTTAATAATTTTACCATACAAGATTGTTGAGTGAATATAGGTTT